CTTGATCATTACGTAATGTTGAGTATCAGCGAACCATTTGAGAAAGCTACAGGAGAGCAGTAGTCAGCATGCTGTCTCAAGAAAATTACTATTTGCATCTGATCTAGTGTATCAGCAGTACCTAATTAAGCTAAATTTAGAAGTTCCTCTTTTGGTCATTCGGCCAATGTTAACTGTTCAAATTTTCCTCCACTTGAAAGTGATTCTTATAGAATTCATCGTTCCAAGTAATCTCCTTTAATGTACTCCTCTTTCTGTATAATAAGATATGTTCATCTTCTCATATGCTCGGGCCAAGGACTAGAAAGGAAAGTGCAGCATCACATCGAATATCATGCTTCGGGCATGTTCCATTAAGAAGGCCAAGCCTAATCAGGACAAGAAATCAAGACGAAAACTAAAAGGAGGGAAGGACAAAATGCAACTTTATTGGGACATTTTTCAAAATATTCGTCAAATCAGATGGTAGAAATAATTTAATGACAACAACCAGTTTCATTATGGAATGCTAGAGATATCAGCTCACCTGCTCCCTGTATTTCCACATAACGTTTAACGCAAGAAGATTTTTCCCCATGAATTCCTACATAAAAGGAATATAGGGATACTAAGTTAAGCATCTAAATGATGTCATAGATTAACTGCAGAAAACCTTGCAACATCAATTGGAATTGTTTGAACGCTCTTTCTCTAGTCAGCTTTAATGGTCAAATAGTCTTAAAAGAGCTTCCCAAATAATAAAAAGGTCACCTGAGTAACAAGTATAGATTGGATACCAAAAACTCTAAACCTAATAGACATAACTTTCTTTTGACAAAACACTTTTAATCGAACTTGAAGCCAACAATATCTTTAGTTGTTAACAGCATTACACCGTCCAATAGATTTTTGAATATTGAAATTATGGAGAAGTTGCATGTAGATCTACTGTCAATCAAATAACAAATACATTAGAAATGATGATTAAAGAATAAGGAAAGCAAGTACCTTCTTAATCAATTGAACATCATAGGACCTTCCATATTTATTCCTTATCAAAGCTGCAAGGTCTATTCCACTAAAAGCAGAGTCATCCCTCCCGATGATTCTTTCAAGATTATTCCTTAGAATTTCACTATTTACCTGACAAACAAAAAAATTAGGATGCTTGTTCGACATTCAGACAATAGACATGCATAGACACGCACAGCCGTATAAGTATATGCTGTGTGCGTTATATTTTATATCCAAACATCTCTTTATGATTTTTTGATTTATCATTCAAAGAATCAAAGTGTAAATTAACAAGTATAGGGAGGCGGGAGCCAAGCAATGATGGAATTGCAACAGCAAGGGCATTTTAACTTACAGATCCAGTTTCACTTTCTGTCGGTTTGTTACTATCTTCTGAGTCATCAGGATCCTTTGCATCACCGGTTGCAGCAGAAAATATTGACCAGCTTTTTCTAGTATTTAGGTGGCGACAGCTAATAAACTTCTGACCTTTTGAAGGTAACAATTCTTTCCAAGAAGATTCTACGTCTGTATAACGAAAACATGAAAATTTGCAACTTCTTTCCTTCAAAATATGCTCTGGACCTCCTAATGAACAGATACGAGGGTGGGTCCCCAGAGAACTCGTCATTCCAAAATCTGTAATTCCATAAGACATGAATGACCGGACATCAAATTTAAGCTTGTGTTAGTGTAGCATAAACAAAGTTATCAGAACGCACAAGATAGGACAGTTGGTTAAAGTAATTGAGAACTAGTAGCTTTAACAATTCATTATGTTAGTATATGATAACTTTTATGATCACAGGCTTGTGCAGAAATATTTCAGTTTCAGAAAATCTAACCTCCATGTTGAAAACCGGAACCATATAGAATTAGAGGTTTTTAAGATGCAATTAGGCCATACCTCAATGGCTAAGTGAATTTTTTTTTTTTTTTGCTTAATCAAACGTTGGCACAATAAGCACATATTAGTCGAAGTATTTGGATACTTTGACACATTCTTGATTCATACAACCAAGAAGTTGTAGATATTTCGACAAGAAGAAATTCTGGACTACTCAGCATACACGCATGAAAAGAATCACCTTTAGGTTACACTAACTATGCATAAGTCTAAAAACCATTCACCCTATGTATTACGAAGATGTTAGTCAGATGTCATACACTTCGATTTTCATGCTTATTAGTTGTATCCTTGCACCTCCGTCCAACACTTTGTTCATATAGACATTTCCTATATACAAAAGCTTTGACAACCATAACACACACCCAACGTCCAACACCTGTGCTTAATTCAAGCTAGTACCAGGGTCGATGTACAGTGTAAGGTATGAGTTCATTCGAACCCAGTAGCTTTGGCTCGGACCTTAGATATGTGTTAAGAAATCTCGATTTCAAACCAAATACATCAAATGAGTTGTAGTAGAATCCCGAACTCGAACCCATAAAGTTCAAATCCTGGATCCACCTCCTGCTATAGCACTGGCTCAAACATAAGGTTCATGGAAAAATCTGATCAGAAACCACCCCTTCTTTAAGAAAAAAGTATACGATCAACTCAATCTACAAGAAACCCACCCCTGCACATTCTGGATAAACATGAACTAACCATGGAAAATGTTGTTCCTCCAACCTTTTCTTGCTCTTTCATAAAGTAGGATGTTGTAGCCACTCCTATTTACTCATTTCTAGGCTATCGTATATCATTTGATTCATCATCAAGTTACCATTATAGTTATCTAATTAAAAAAAGAAGCAGCTAGAGCTACTTCTTTATGCATCAAAATGGACCTTCTCCCAAGAAACACTTCCAATATTTCCTACACCAAGCAATTTTTGCTCTACTCCTCTATATCAGCATACCATTATCAGGGGCGAACATAGCATATAAGTTATGGGTTTATCCGAACCCAATAACTTTGACTTAGACCTTGTATATAGGTTAAAATTTTCACTAAGTACAAATAATATATTTCGAACCCATAAAGTTCAAATTCTGGATCGTGGTAATCTTTTAATTGACACATAACCTGGTATAATACAGAGTACTTATATAAGCTCTTTCATACCACTATAATGATACATAACCCCTNCACCCCCCCCAAAAAAAAGGAAGAGGAAATTTATAAATCAAGATTATATTCAAGATACATAATTGAATAAAATTGAGAAAAAAAAAGGAGAAAAAAAAGTGAGAGAGGAAATGACCTGGTGGAAGCAGCAGAGTCTTGAGTTAGCTTTCAAGCAGTGTTGTAGTGAGGCCCCAGAAAAAAGAAAAGGAGTTAGTTAAAAGGCGTAAGAGCTTTAAATTATGGTTGCTTTTGCTTCTACAACTTAAAATGAAATGGAAATTGTTTTCTCCTTTTGGCGTATGTGGATGTGGAGCAAAATGGATATGGACTCTAAAGTCTTATGGTGTGAGATTATTCTCCCTTTTATTTTCCTAGAACTAATTAATACAATAATTGTTATTTACACTACTATTTGGTTTTGTGTAAATGTTTAGTGTAAATAAATATTTGTCTTGAACTCTTTGTTTGCATATATGTTTTTATAATTTAATTGTGTCTAATTGATATGTATTTTAAATTTAGTATGTAATTATAGTCAAACCTCTCTATAACAACATTGTTTGTTCCGAAATATTTCGGTTTTTATAGTGAATGGTTGTTATACACTTATAACAATATTTGACATTTAAATATATTTTGGCTGTTATAGACAAAAAATATCCAAAAACTAATTATTTTTCTTTTATAATATTATATATAAAAGATTAATAAAATATTTAAATTCAAAATCTCAAAAGATATAAATATTTCACGAATTAAATACTAAAGAAATATAATATATTATTTAAAAATTCTTAATTAAACGCACAAATATTTAAACTCTAAGGCACACAGTTAAAAAATATGAATAGATTACATTTACATATTATTGGTAATCATCCAATATAAGATATATCACGTGTACATCATCAAATAAAAAAAAAGAATGATATGCATATCTTCAAAAAGTATAAATAGATCTTTTAAGTATCTTTTGACATTTTTCTAATGCAAGATATATCATTTGTAGATCTTTAGTTATAAAAATATTTGATGTGCATATGTTCATGGAACATACTGCTATCCTTAAGATAATATATATAGCTATTATAAGTTGTACATTAAAGTTATAAAATATTTGCTTAAATATTTAGAATTATTATTAGTAATAATCTTAGAAAATCTGCATGGCTGTTATAGAGGGGTAATTTTACAAAAAGCGTACTGTTATAAAAATGGTTGTTGTTGTGATAAGCAAAATGTTATTATAGAGAGATAAAATATAACATAAAAAATCGATTCTGAAAAAAACTAGGCTTTTATAGTGAAGAATTGTAATATAGCCATATAGATATGTTGTTATAGAGGTCTGACTGTATTAAGGTTAAATAAGGAATACGGGAGTATAGCTAAATTTAATTCTTATACATTTGGAAAAAAATTAATGAGCTATGTACAGATTTTTTTTAATGCATATATATAATAACACGAGGGAACTATATTATGTTGAGATTAATTTCCTCTTTTGTCCAATAAGATGGATTTCAGTTTAATTATTTGAATAGAATTTTTCTTTTAAATTTGAAGACAAATGACTTTGAATTTTTGCAATTATAAATTGCATTTAACGTGGTACTCCCGAATAGAATGGAACACCAAATAATTGAGTTAGTTTGAACCCGAGATCTCATAACTTGCATAAAATTACATATTATATTTTGCTTTTTCTTGAATTTAAACATGAAATTTTATGGTTCCGCTTCCACTCCGTTGACCATAGCACTCCCTTCATTTTTTTTTTCTTATGAAAATGGTCCTATTTTTCACATTATCACTATTTGACTTTTCAAAGAGCTATTTTCTCTGGTGGAAAAATTCTTTTTTCTGAAATTATAATGTTTTCAAGATATTATTTATGATTTATCATATTTTTATAATACCTCGTACTCTTCTGTATCAAATGCAAAAGAAGTATATTCCAATTTTGTTTAAAAATTGGAGAAAAGCAATTGCACAAATTAGAAAAAAAAATTATTATGTTATACATTTCGGTAGGAGTTGAACCACCGGTCATAACAGAGCGGTTGACGCCGTGAAAGGTAGTTGGAAGCATGGATTTTGCGGACTCCGCCATCGCCTCAATGACGGCGATCAAATCCCGCTCCTCCCCCTCCGATGACGTTGGATCTCCGGTACGTTTTACGTGCATTTCCCTCACTGTTGACGATCAGTTGTCTTTATAAACAATTTTATTTGTTTTTATGTAATATTATACAATGCTTGATCAGTTGATTCGACTGGGGAAAAAAATCGATTTTGTTCCTTTATGTAATTTTTGAGCAATTAATTAAGATTTCGTCTTTTCTTTTGTTGTGTGTGTGTTTAATATAGGAGGTTGGAATTGTGTAGGAGGGATTCCTTTTTGCCTTTTTGTTTCCCTTTTTTGTTTCTTTACAAGGTTCATTACCATTTAGACTATTAACATTTATATTCACTGACATTGTATTTTAATAACTTACCATTTATTGTAGGTTATTAGTGAATGATTATTAAATATAGTCACCTGCAATTTCTTTTTAGGTAATCAGTGCAATAGTGCATAGAACTTAAACATTTTCTCTATAAGGCTAATGTAAATTAACCTGTTATAACGGGTTACTTACCTTTTATTGTAGGTTACTAGTGAATTTTTATTAAATACAGTCACCTGCTAAGTTTTGTGATTATTCTATACAAGCAGTGCATAGAACAAAAACACTTCCTCTATAAGGCTAATGTAATTTAACCCGTTATAGCAGTATGCTTACCATTTATTGTAGGTTACTAGTGAATTTTTATTACATATACTGCAACTACCTTTTAAGTTACTTGGTTATTCTATACAATCAGTGCATAGAACTTAAACACTTCCTCTATAAGGCTAATGCAATTTAATCCGTTATAGCAAGATTCTTACCATTTGTTGTAGGTTACTAGTGAATTTTTATTAAATATACTCAGCTGCAATTACCTTTTAAGTTACCTGATAATTTTACGCAATCAGTGCATAGAAGTTAAACACTTTCTTTATAAGGCTAATGTAATTTAACCTGTTATAGCAGGCTACTTATTACCAGTGATTTTTTTCTAGTATATTCACCTGCAATGACCTTTTAAGTAACCTGATTATTTTATACAATCAGTGCATACATAGAACTTAAACACTTTTTCTATAAGGTTGCGTCTGACTAGTTGCTCATTCTTCTACTATTTCACTTTGTACTTGAATCCTCCCACTAGTACCTCAAACTCTGTCTGACTTAGGCTAATGGAAGGAGATTGCATAGCTTTTATGCCTCTGCTTACACCACTTGTCTACTTTTATACTTGAGGTGGTGCTTTTGGAAAGCCCAACTTATTGATGGAAGCAGTGGCAAAGTGAACAATTTATATAAGGAGATAAAAAAAATTAAAATATCACATTTGGGATTTGGATTTGTGATCTAAAGCAGCTTTTGAACCCTTTCTACCACTACACTAGAATTTTTCTTTATGTCAAGGGGATTCAACAATTTATATATAACCAATTTTTTTTTTACCTTTACCCAATTTACAAATTACACAGTATAATTTTTAGGGTTCAACTAGCTCCGCCGTTGGTTGGAGGTAGAAACAACTTACCATATGAGCAAGTTTCACTCGTCAACTCAGCAGCATTTAATCTCCTTTCGAAGTTCATTTAGTTTATTTTCTACTTTTTTCTTCGAAGTTGGAAATTTTAGACATGCTTGAATCAATACAATTGAACATTTTAGTTGCTTAAGTTTGCTATTGTAGGAGGAGCATAATGTGGCATCTGTAAGTGAGAATCATGAGACGACATGTTGGGGCTGTGGGCTCCGCGTACTTGTTTCACCGCATGTACCTGCTTTCAAGTGTTTCTGGTGTGGAGCTATAACCAACCAGAATGCAATTAAACATGAGAACCAGAACTTCAGGTGGAGACGATTGCGAGACCGGTGTTTCGTTAGCATCCTCATTGTCTTCATGCTAATTGTAATATGTAAGTGATCAAACATCCATCATCTCCCCTCCATTCCTCTACAGGAATATTTGGTTCTTTCCACGACTAACTTCTAGTTCCGTATGGTTATTGCATTCTCTATCTGCTTTTATCTTTTTATAACCCTTGCACCATTTATATGATTTTCATGTCAGAGTTTTATATGGGGGAAGAAATCAATGTGTACGTATCTTTTTTGTGTGTTGTGTGCTTCATGTCTACCTCTGGTTTTGCCAATTTAAGCCATTCTGCTACTTTTTCTTGGTCCTGCTCGATGAAAATGAAACACTATGGCTCTTAGATGTGTCAACAATTTGTGGCCATACTGCTAATTTACCTTTTTATTTTTTCTAGTAATTAGATGCAACAATTCCTTGCTAATTGCATCACAGAATGCAATAAATTCCACAATGTGGATTTTGGTTTCTCTTACTCTTTTCTGTATACGTATATTTTCTTGTATGTCATTGTGTTAATTGTAGGGGTATTTCTTTGCAGTTTTATATCAACTTGTTGCTGGATGTAAGACTTTATTATACGTAAGCTTTGATATGTTTGTTGGTGTTTCAGGTGGTGGTATTTGGGCCATTTATCCAGTAGTATTTTCTGTTGGTTACATCTACGGTGGTGTTCACATTTTGATTGCTATAATATTGTCCATATCTACCCTGTCTACATTTAGCCTTTCTGCATTTCGATCTGCTGGTGCTCCACCAAACATACTGTGGGGTAGCTATCCGGTCGTGACAAAAGGAGCACTTGAGAATTATAGATATTGTGAATACTGTTCAAAGCCAAAGTCACCTAGGGCACATCATTGCCGTTCTTGTGGAATGTGCGTATTGGACATGGATCATCATTGTCCCTTTGTAAGTCTCGGTATTCTTTTATGCTTTGGATAAGATGTCTGTTTGCTAGAATGTTATGCATATAAATTGTAGTTGAGAAATTTTAGAAGCTTAATAGACAAGTATAACCATGTGTCTGTGAGTTTAAGCCTAAAATTGAGCCTCTAAAGGTTTTCTTTATCTCACAACTTTTATATGGATTGCTGGATCCTATGTCGTAAAAATATTAGGTGGGTGATATCTATCTGCTTGATGACTTTTTTCGAAAGAAAAGAAATATTGCTTATGGATGGTATGGAGCAGTTGTATATATAGGCCATTTGCATGATGATGCTTTGTTGTTTCTTCTTCACTTGTGAAAGAACCCTTGGATGGCAGATCTTTGATTCCCATGGACCTTGTAAGATCGATGATCTTATTGTAGATCACCTGGTCAAATGAAAATGTTATATTTATACCTCAATATCAAAT